GGTGGCGCACGCCTTTAATCCCAGCACTTGGGAGGCAGAGGCAGGCGGATCTCTGTGAGTTCGAGGCCAGCCTGGTCTACAGAGTGAGTTCTAGGACAGGCTCCAAAGCTACACAGAGAAACCCTGTCTCGAAAAACCAACCAAACAAACAAACAATGAAATGTCTTGGAAGAGGCTGGGTGGTTGTGGCAGTACGCTCCTTTAAGCCCAGCACTTGGGAGGCAGAGGCAGGCAGATCTCTATGAATTTAAGGCCAGCCTGGTCTACAGATCGAGTTTCAGGACAGGCTTCAAAGCTACACAGAGAAACCCTGTCTTCAAAAACAAAAAAACAAAAGTCCTGGAAGACCCAAACCTGGTAACAAATAACTGTAATGTTAGTACTTGGGAGACTGAGCCAAGGGGGATCATTATAAGTTTGAGACCAGCCTGAGCTAAAGAGTGAGACCCTTGTAGTGGTGGTTGTTTTTAAGGCCTGGAAAATAAAGGAGATGGAACCAGAAAATATTTATAGAAATGACAAGTTTGTTTATAGAATGAGTGAATAGAAGTGAGACTAGGTCTTATAATGAGGCCTTCCTTCTATGAAGACATTCTATATATATATGAATGTTTTTAGGCTACCTTAACCATTGCTACTAATAATTAATGTGAGTTATAGTTGCCATTGGGGAGCATGACAATATAGCACTATGTTGTCATTAACAAAAAAAGGAAGTTGCATCATGTATCACCAAATTTTTCAAAACAGTACAAAGCTCAGCAGTGATAGCGCACACTAGTCCCAGCACTCTGGAGGCAGAGGCAGGTAGATCTCTATGAGTTTCAGGACAGCCTGGGCTACAGAGTAGGTTCCAGGGCAGCCAGGGCTACACAGAGAAACCCTTTTGTGAGGTAGAGGGTGAAGGAGAGTATGGCAAAGGCCTAAATAGTTGAATAATTGGATATTTACCTGAGTATAATTATTTTGGCTTAAGTCTGTTTCCTTACTTCTGAGTCTTCCATTAGCTAGGTGCTGTTCCTTTTCTTCCGGAACTTAGCTCTATCCATGGAACAGGTAGGCAGATGCTGAATAGTGCATACTTGGAGTGAATAGATAAATTAAGGGATGGCTGAAGGTACAATTCAGAGGTAGAATGCATATGTGCCTGTGTCTTAGGTTTCTATTGCTGTGAAGAGACATCATGGCCACGGCAACTCTTATAAGAAAAACATTTAACTGGGGTGGTTTGCTTACAGTTTTAGAGGCTCAGTTCAGTATCATCATGACAGGGAGCGTGGTGATGTGCAGGCAGACATGGTGCTGGCTACATCTTGATCAGAGGCAATAGGAAGTGATATGTCTCCCTGGGCTCTATCTTGAGTTTATAAGACCTCAAAGCCCACCCCCACAGTGCCACACTTCCTCCAAGGCCACACCCACTCCAACCAAGCCACACCTCCTAATAGCGCTACTCCCTACCAGTTTATGTGGGCCAATGACATTCAAACTGCCATGGTATGTGTGTAGAAGTCAGAAGACAATTTACAGGAGTAAGTTATTTTCCCTTGGTCCTGGGCTCAAGCTCATGCCATCCGATCTGGCAGCAGGCATGCTGAGCCCTCGCCAGTCTGTTAGAGCACTTAATCATACATGGAGGCTCTGAGTTTCACCCTAGCACTGTGGAAATAAATGGAAGGAAGGACCTTGGTGTTGGTTCCCACCCTGTAAGTGGCATCCTAGACTTCGCAGTGGACTCAGTGTGGAGTCGTCTACGCTGCTGTCAGGAGACAGAGGAGCAGGAGGGGGAATGGATGTGGAAGGATTTGAGTTCTGTGGGTTAGTACCCTCTGATGTAGTATATTCTTGTTTCTTATCTCCACCTCCCTTTGTTTAAAAGAATCTCTATCTTCAGTGCTTAAAACAGCTGCTGGCAGATGGTAGATGTTCAGTCTAGCCCGCTTTTTAATGAATGCATAAGTGAAATGAAGTGCACTGACTTTGAAATCTAAGTGCTAGACATGGAAAGTAGCTGGTATTTGAGAGTTGGTACAAGTCGATGATCTTAGTAGTGCATTTGCTCTTTTATCACGGAATCTGCTGGCTCTTTGCAGGAGGCACGCTCCAGCTGCAGCTGTGTTTGCTGGGAGCCCACAGTTAATGGGTGTGATTAAACTGTGCACTGGCTGGATGGTGACGAGCTTGCCCCTTTACAGTGATGATGATCTTCTCAACAGAAATGAAAACGTAAGCCATCAAGGTCTACATTTGGGTCTTTTAAAGTGACACTATAATTTAATCTTGTTCTGTGCTGATCCATGTTTCTTGATAGATAGGAAAATCCAATTTTAGAAGATGTAATTCAGTTTAGTTTTTAAAGTTGTGGGAGGTTGAAACAGGAGGGCCACTGTGAGTTTGATGTTGGCTTGTGCTCCCCAGGGAGTTTCAGACTAGCCAGAGCTATAGAGCAGGACCTTCTCAAAAACGAAAAATAGAAAAAGAAAAAAAGGTAAAAGTTGTATGATTAATTTAATTTAACCAAGAGATAATTCAAGATTAAAATATTAAATTTCTTTTGCTGGGCGGTGGTGGCGCAGGACTCCAGAATCAGAGGCAGGTGAATCTCTGTGAGTTCGAGGCCAGCCTGGTCTACAGAGTGAGTTTCAGGACAGGCTCCAAAGCTACACGGAGAAACCTTGTCTCAAAAACAAAAGCAACAACAAACTAAAATATTAAATTTTTACTTTGTGAAGAGTGTTGCTACACTTCTGTGAGAGGTAGTTTCCATAACACTGTCACAGGAATGGATGGATACTATTTCAGAAAGGGAAACCGTCCTTCTAAAGTATCATGGCTCTCAGATTGTTGAGGACAACTGTCAGTTCCTATCTCAATACATGTTGTCTTTCCAAAGTTATTCTATTGCTGATAAAATACAAATATAATTTAGAAGCTGTGGGTCTAGAGAGCGCAGTGAGTATTGTGCTCACTGTACGAGTATGAGCACCTGAGTGTGGAGCCGTACACCTGTATTAAGAGCCAAGTGTGGCAGCGTGCACATCTGTCCCAGTGCTGGGAGCTGGAGACAGAAGGATCCTTGGGGCTTGATGACCAGCCATTTTAGCCCAATCAGGGAGTTCCAGATTGAATAAGACACTGTTTCAAAAATAAGGTGGAGTGTCGGGTGGTGGTGGAACATGCCTTTAATCCTAGTACTTGGGAGAGGGAGGGAGTCAGATCTCTGTGAGTTTCAGGCCAGCTTGGTCTATAGAGCAAGTTCCAGGATAGCTAGGGTTGTTGCACAGAGATACCCTGTCTCAAAAAAACCAAAATAAATGAATGAATGAAATAAAAAATAAAAGATGGAGAGAGATTGAGTAAATCAACTGATGTACAGTCCGTGCCTCCCATCCCCACCCTGTAAACAAATATGTACTGTTTTGATATTTCCAGGAGTGTTAGCATCCTTATAATCCCAGCTATTTGGAAGATACAGAGAATAGCAATTTTAAGGTCAAACTAGGAAACAAGCAATTGCTTCGGGGAAAAAAAATTAAGCCTGGGCTTAATTCAATTTGCCTGCCATTTATAAGTCCCTAGATTCAATCATAGATGGGGTAGATGTTAGGGTGGCCCATGTTAGCCTGGGAATGTGACTCAATGGTACTGTTTGGCGGTCATTCACAATTCCCTGAGTCAATCCTTTGTACTGCAAAAACCAGTCTACCAGCCAACTAACCGACCTGTGGGGTTTCTTCTTCTTTATTGGTACGGGCTTTAATAGATAATTCTGTATAACATCAGAATGGCACCTAATTAATGTGGGTTAGAGAATGTCTTATTTTGAATGTTATGGATTTAAATGATAAGTTTAGGGGCTGGAGAGGTGGCTCAGTGGTTAAGAGCACTGACTGCTCTTCCAGAGGACCCAGGTTCAATTCCTAGCATTCACATGGCAGGCAGCTCATAAACTGCCTGTAACTCCAGTTCTAGGGGGTCCAGTGCCCCCTTTTGGCCTTTATAGGCATCAGGCATGCACATGGTGCACAGACATACATACAGGCAAACATCCAAATACATAAAATAAAAAATAATTTTAAACAAATACTGCTTGGTGTGTGGTGGTGCACGCCTTTAAGCCTAGCACTCTCAAGCAAATGGGGGGTGATATCTGTGACTTTGAGGTCAGCGTGGCTTCTCTACATGGCTAGTTCCAGGACAGCCAGGACTCTGTGACTCAAATGGTAGTTCTGTACTTTACCTTGAATGAGCTACTGAATCTGGAAATAAAAGTTATAGTTTTTCCTACTTATGAGAATTAAATTACTAAACAATTGTAAATTACTGAAACAATAAACTTCAAAGAATTATTTTTGTTTGTATTGAGAAAGAGGGTCTCAAGTTTTGTATGTAGTCAAGGTTAGCCTTGAACTCATGATTCTCCTGAGTCCACATCCCCAAGTACTAGGATTATAAGAATGTTTCACTGTGCTCAGAGAATGTACTGTTAAATTTAGTTATATCAGCTTAGATGCAAGATTGTAAAACATCAGTAGTGAACTTCTGCCCTCCGGGGTCCTCCCATTGTGCTGTAAGCCTGTATTTAAGACCTCCTACCCCCTTCAAGAAATGACATTCGACATTTAAAATTAAATATATATATAATTGAATGAATACTGCGAATATAATCTATGAATACCACAAATGTGATTAATATCATGAGTGTAATTTAAAAAATAAATTAATTTAAAAAATTGTAGTTATATGTGCATGGATGTATATACACATCCAGTACAGAGAGTTCAAAGGCAGGAATAATTAGTTCTGCTTACAAAACCTTAAGAATTCATCCCAAATTAGGTCATTCTCTTTGATCTCAGCATTGAAGACTGGTGAGACACTTGTTTGGAAATGGAATATGTGTGATTAGATGCTGAAAAAGTAACACAAACCAGAAATGTGTGTAGCTATGTAACTAGAAAATGTAACTGTGTATCTAGAAAATATAACTATGTATCTAGAAAACCATAATGGTAACTTGAAAATACACCTGTGTAACTAGAAAATGTGACTAGAAAAATGTAACTATGTAATTAGAACATATAACTATGTAACAGAAAATGCAACTTTGTAGCTAGAAAATGTAACTATAACTAGAAAATATAACTGTATCTAGAAAATGCAACTATATAACTAGAAAATACAACTATGTAACTACAAAATGTGAAGGTATAACTAGAAAATGTTATGGTGTAACTAGAAAAAGTAACTATATATCTAGAAAAACGTAACTGTAACTTGAAAATACAACTATGTAACTAGAAAATATACCTATGTAACTAGAAAATGTAACTTTCTAGAAAATGCAAATATGTAACTAGGAAATGTAACTGTGTATTTAGAAAATGTAACTATGTAACTAGAAAATGTTATGGTGTAACTAGAAAATATAACCATATAACTAGAAAATTTTAACTATGTAACAGAAAATGCAACTATGTGATTAGAAAATGTAACTATGTGACTAGAAAAGGTGACTTTGTAACTAGATGTAACTATGTGACTAGAAAATGTAACTATGTAACTAGAAAATGAAACTATGTAACTAGAAAACAAGGCCAGATTTTTGTGGACCTGTGGGGTCATGCTGAGGAATTTAGGTTGCCCTTGAGGAAGCTGGGAAACATGAAAGGCTAAATAAGCCTTATAGTGGAATAATTAGATGTGTAATCCTAGCACTTGGGAGATAGAGGCAAGGGTTGCAGTTAAGTTCAAGGCCAGCCTGGACTATAAGTGAAACTTTGTCCAAGAACCAAAAAATAGGGCTGGAGAGATGACTCAGCGGTTAAGAGCACTGGCTGCTCCTCCAGAGGTCTTGAGTTCAATTTCCAGCAGCCACATGGTGGCTCACAGCCATCTGCAATGAGATCTGGTACCCTCTTCTGGCCTGCAGGCATACATAATAAATAAGTCTTTAAAAAAAAAAGAGCCAAAAATATTTTAAAATGGGACAAAGGGAAAGTTCATTATAGTCTCGAGAACGTATCAAAGCAGGTGGAGAGGACAGAGATAGGGAGGGAGATAAGCTTATGGGTGGCCTGCCTCAAGAGGAAGCTGTCAGTTCTGATTAACATTTGCTGTGTTCAAAGAGATGGTGGTGTTTGGGTAGAATATGGACAGGGATTCCTAAGAAACCATCAATTCCAGCTTTTTGTTTTTGAGACAAAAATCTCACTGTGTAGCCCAGGCTACCACAATGCCCAGCTTCTTTGTTTTCTTTCGATAGGACTTCCCCCAATATGGTGTTTCAGAATCATTTTTAATTTAATTAGAGTTCTAACTACTTTGTTTTATGGAACTCAGCTCCAAGAATAGCAATCATAGTTTGTTTATTTTGCTTTTTCAGAGTTTACCTTTCCTTACAGTATCTAGTAAATAGCAGTTCCTGAATAATTTTGTCTCATCACAACCCAAATGAAGCTCCCCAGAGATGAGACAGGTCATCTAGTTAGACAGTATCTCTAGTTTGTAATACAAGACTAATCTTGTGTAATCTCTTGCACACTGTTTGTCAACCCAGGAAGAGTTTGCGTGGAGAGGACATTTGGTACTGTCTAGAGACGTGTTTGGTTGTCGGTCGTCACTAGATATAGAGTTCTGTGGGCATCGAGCAGGTGCTGGCCAGCGGTGCTGGTAAACACCCCTACATTGTGCAAAATAGCCTCTGTCCTGTCCCCAGAATGAAGTATTTGGCTCCAAATTTGTATCATACCAAAGCTGAAACACTCCTCTACTCTCTTAGTAGTGTTGACATTTTACAGAATTTTATTTTAAAGATTCTTTTTAAATTTTTATTCATTGTTGAATGTGTTTGCATTTCTGTGTATGTATTTGGGTTCATTTGGAGACAGAAGGGTGCATCAGATCAAATTTTTGAAAATAGGAAAAATACTATAGGCATTTTTTTCAAAGGAGAAAAAATTCAAATGACTAATTTATATATGAAAGGTGCATAACTTCATTAACCATCAGGAAAATGAAAGTCATATCCACAACTAGATATCTCTACAGACCAAGTGGGATAGCTAAAATCAAAGAGACAAATAAGCTGGGCTTGGTGATGAGCACCTTTAATCCAGCACTGAGGGTTTAGTGGGTAGATGCAGGCTAATTTCTGTGAATTCAAGGGCAGCCTGGTCTACATGTCAAGGTCAAGGTCTGCCAGGGCTATGTAAAGACCCTGCCTCAAAAAACAAACAAAAAGGACAAAAAAGTAATACTTAGGATTTAGATAGCTAGAACCAAACCCTGTACACAGTTTGTGGGAAACTCGTCAGAGTCTTCACAAAATTAATTACAGTTCCCTTATGACATAGGAGTTCTGGCAGAAGTGTATGTCCTGCACAAAACTACGTGAAGACTCACGTACATCATTCATAATGGCTCCCAAATACAAGCAACCAAAATGTTTATTAACTAATGATAAACAGAATGTTTTATCCTTATATTAATAGAGTAAATATTTGGTTTTGAAAGATAATGAAGTACTTAAAGATGCTACAGTACAATATGGATGAGTTAGGCAAGCTTCATGCCAAGTGAAGGAAGTCAGTCCCAAAGAATCCCATGGTATCGGTCCCATGGATTTCAGAGGTCTAGAATAGATTCTTTTTTTTTTTTTTTTTTTTTTTTTGATTTTTCGAGACAGGGTTTCTCTGTGTAGTTTTGTGCCTTTCCTGGGACTCACTTGGTAGCCCAGGCTGGCCTCGAACTCACAGAGATCCGCCTGCCTCTGCCTCCCGAGTGCTGGGATTAAAGGCGTGCGCCACCACCGCCCGGCTAGAATAGATTCTTTAGTAGAGACATTGTAGATGATTGGTTATATAGGAATGGGGCAGGCAGGTTGCGAGGTAACAGACAAGATACACATCTTTTCTTCTTTGGGATAATGCAAGTGATCTAAAGTTGTATTGGTAGATGCACAACTCTGTACATATAGTAAAAATCATTAGTTGGTGAATTGCATACTATTGCATTGTATTTTATTTTATTTTTATAATCATGTGTATACCAGGAGGGTGTATGTGCTTGTGAGCACAGCTGTCTGAGGGATTGAAAAGAGGCTGTCATACTCCCTGCAGATCGAGTTACAGCCGTGGTGAACTACCTGATATAGATGCTGGTAACCAAACCCAGGCCCTCTGCAGGAGCGGGTCCTGCGCTTAACTGCGGAGTCATCTGTCCATCCCTGTGAAGTGTATCTTATTCAAGTTGTGTAATTTTAATTAACGGGTGCTTTCAGTGTCTTTTAAATTTTGTCCTAATTATTTCCTTTCAGATTTACCAAATCTATTCAAAGCGATCTGCTGAGGATATTTATAAAATCTTGACATCTTACAAAGCTAACTACCTCATTGTAGAAGATGCCATCTGCAATGAGATGGGAACCGTGAGAGGCTGCAGGGTTAAAGACTTACTAGATGTTGCAAATGGGCATGTAAGTAACCATTTAAAAAGCTGATTGTTCCGTAGAGGAATGACTTTCTTTAGCCTTGTCGTCCTCCTCCATGAACTCCAGCTGCTCTGGCAAGCCAGCTTCCCTCTGCACGAGTAGTGCACACTCGACATGCCTAGCAACCAAGGAGACTCACGGGGAGTTTGCAAGTCTGATAAGTAGTACCCACAGGAGTAGATGCTTTTACTCCTGAGAAAGTTAGGCTGGAGGACTTGAGAAAAAGATAAATAGATCATTCTGAGTTGTAGGACAAAGTCTGTTTAGGCCACAGCCAGGATTTTTGTTGTACGAATCCATATGGTCTTATAATAAAAAACCTGGAGACAGATATTGGGCTAAATGCTGAACGATCAGAGAGACAAAGGAGCAAGCCACTAGAGAAACTTCTCACCATTCCTGAATCCTCAGGCTGAATGGGAGGCGAGATCCTGTCGCCACGAGTCCTCAGTCCTCAGCCAAAAAAGGGCTTTTTGTTCCTGTCTCCTCACGCCTTATATGCCTTTCTCCGCCCAGCCATTTCACTTCCTCCCTAGTGCTGGAATTAATGGCCTGTGTGCTTCCCAAATACTGGTAGCAAAGGCATGAGATCTCAAGTGCTGGGATTAAAGGTGTGTGACTCCCAAGTACTGGGGTTAAAGGTGTGTGCCACCACTGCCTGGCTCTTGTTTTTCTCCTAGACTGAATCAATATCATGTGGTCCAGGGTGGCTTTGAACTCAGAGAGATCTAGACAGATTTATAGGATTAATTGTGTGTGTCACCACTGCCTGACCTCTATGTTTAATCTAGTGACTGGCTCTGTCCTCTGATCCTCAGACAAGCTTTTTTTCCATTTATTTATTTATTTATTTATTTATTTATTTATTTATTTATTTATTTATTTACTTACTTACTTACTTACTTACTTAGTATTTTGCTTGCATGTATGTGTCTGTGTGAAGGTGTTAGATCTTGGAGTTAGAGACAGTTGTTAGCTCCATTTGGGTGCTGGGAATTAAACCCGGCTTCTCTGGAAGAGCAGCCAGTGCTCTTAACCACTGAGCCATCTCTCCAGCCCCGCAAGCTTTATTTGATACACAATATATCACCACAGATTTTTTTCTCTCCCTTCTGAAACAATCATGTTTGTCTTAATAAACCAAGAGCAGTTTGGAGGTGAAGAATTTGTTTTCACAGTTCGCATCTTTCAGGATTGGAGAGGTGGCTCAGCATTTAAAAACCCCTCTTGCCCTTGAAGAGGACCCAGATTCAGGTCTCAAGACTCACAGAACAGCTCACAACCTTCTGTAACTCCAGTTGGAGGGGATCTGATGCCCTCTTCTGTCCTCTGAGAGCACTTTGTGCACGCAGGGCACCTGTACATGCAGGCAGAACATATACATAAACTAAAGATGTCTTTAGAATTTCCCATTCCCATGTCTTTGTGACCCAGTAAGCTTGCATTGTAAACTTACTTATGCTGTGTGTGTTTTGAATGTTCTCAGGGGTGCTTGATAGTGTGAGTTTGGTTTATTGGTGATGGATAGATGTAATCAAGAAGTGATATTCAGTAATTACTGATAGATTTCTGTTTGCTCTCTGTTGCCTTGGTATTCTTGTTTAAAATTTATTTATTTATTTATTTTACATCCCAACTGCAGTTCCCCTCCCTCCTCTCCTCCCAGCCCACCTCCCCGCCAATCCACTCCTGCTCTGTTTCTGTTCAGAAAGGGGCAGGCCTCCCGTGGGCGTCAGTAAAGCATGGCACACCAGGTTGCCTTTCTGTTCTTTTGGGGTCCACCTTCTGCTCTTTCTTTCATGTAATGCCAGACATAGACTTAAGCTACTTTACTATTAACATTGACTGTCCAATGTCTATTACAGGTTTTACAATAATATCATAAAAACAAGCAAACCTGAGGCAGCAAGCTAGCTTAGTGGGTAAAGATAAAGATTTGTTTCCAAGCCTGACAACCTGGTCCCATCCTTGGGACTCTTGAAATTTGTTCTCTCTCTCTCTCTCTCTCTCTCTCTCTCTCTCTCTCTCTCTCTCTCTCTCTCTCTCACACACACACACACACACACACACTGTAATATAATGGAAAACCCACAAAACTTAAACTTAGCTGAGCTATGGTGGTGAGAGCATTGTCAGATGG